CTTCATAGTGTTATTTACTGCCATTTTTTGTATGCCTTGTATATTTCTGACTTCTCTCTTGTGAGTCTGAGCTGAGGAATATTTTAAGTAAATTCATAGTGGGAAAAAATATTTTTACAATAGTACCAGTAACATAAAGATAATGTTTCCTTTCAAATCAATTTTGTTTGAGTGATTGTGCATATATTTTTGTATATCAATTCAAACTTAACAATAAGAAAATAATTGTGGATGTTGAAGTGGTGGGGATGTCACCTGTGCATGCATGGGAATTTAGTCCCGAGCGTTGATAACAACTCTTGCTAACGAATGCAAAGATTCATGGGTAGATGCTTGTTTTTAAACAACATTATGCTAAAGCTGTTTACCGCATACGCAGGTAACGACTCCCTTGCTTTAATATTTTAGCATTGAAATGTATGTTCATGTAACTACTTTAGAATGTTGTATATGACTTTTGACACACTCATTTGCCAAATTGTCAACTATTCATGTTATTTTTATTTCAGACCAAAAAGGCGATGATGGATATAGTAATACTTTGAAGTCGATGAGTTCCTTCTTCATTGCTCATGGACCAGCATTCAAAAGTAACTTTTCCTCGTTGTCGTTCAACAATGTTGATATCTACGCTCTGATCTGCCAGATAATGGGTTTGGAAGCTGCACCAAATAACGGCAGTTTAGCGATTGTTTCAGAAATGTTGAACATAACCTATCCAACACCAATAAAACCTACTACAAGTGGGGGTGGAGGTGGTGCCAGTGGTGGAGGGGATGGACCTGATGACGCAAATCCATCTAGTAAACATTCAGCGCTGTCTCAAAGATTAATAATTGGTAAGTTGAACTGATAATATTCATCTTACAGATCAAGGTTTTTTTAAATCCAACACTGTAAACGGGAAATTTGTGTAAATCCAATCAGCCGTGAAACATCCAACTATTTTTTAGTACCCTTTCGGACACAGTCCCAGTCCATGCATCCATGCGCCTGTGAGTCCAGACCTATATCTTAGACGTACCTGGACCAATTACATTCAAAATTCGCACATACATCATACATAATATTATACATATGTACATCGGTCTGATTCAAGTTTGCCGAATGGCGACCATTTTTGTACTGAAATCAATCATTTCTGCAATTCCGAAACCGGATCTCTGCTGTTTACAGACGGATTTTGTTCAAACTTAGTACATACATTGGACGCTATGGGACGTGAATGCAGGTAATTTTGTTTTTCAGATTGGATTCAAAATGGGCAATTTGTGGCCATTTTTTTAATCAATGTGGTTCTAGTGCCATTTCTCTGACATGCTTTGACTGATTAAGTTCAATTTTTATGTATTCATTATACATCATGTAATAGATATACAGATGTATTCAAAATGGCCAAATGGTGGCCATTTTGTATTAATTAACAGTATTGGTGTTCCAGAGCAATATCTCTCAATAAGGACAAGTACTCATTTGATGATCAGATACAAGATGACTGAATGTCAACCATTTTAATGTTGAAAAATCAACTTCTGGATCCACACTCTGACATGTTGATGTTCTAACTATACTACTATAAACAAAACTATATATCTTAAATTTGATAACTTACTGGGACGGTGCCATGCATGGCTTGTATTTGATGTGGCACAAAGCAAATTATGCTGGGTTTTGTATATAATTTGTTGTTACAATTGTTTTCATGGCATTCTTTCCCTCCTTGCGTGTACTAAAATTTCCATCCCACCAAATACAAACAAAATCAATTACAACTACTTGTTTTTCCTATATCGCTTACATGGTGGAACTACCCGGTAATATTTTTTTTTTTCTTTATCAATTTTTTTCTTCAAATTTGTAGCAATTGTTATAGCTGGGATTGTTTCCCTGACATCAGCCATCTTCCTAACTGGGATGTGTATCCGTCAACACAAGAACCGAATGAAGGAGTACACTGGCGTACCTACTGCCCGCACTTATGAGGCCAGCAAGCTATTGGTAGAGCAAGAAGACGATATTGCCTAATGGAAATTTATATTATATTTTCATACATCCAAGATGTGGTATGTGCTCCATTTGTTGCATAACACACTCAATCCCACAGGCTGGTAGACCATATACTTTTTGTACTGAACATACACTGCCCAAGGCGCAGTATTGTCTGAGTTTTTATTTGCTGTATTTAGCTACATTTATAAGCGAAAATAAAACCCAGTTAATAATCGAGTCCTTATGCAGTAGCGTATTGAAAAAACAATGTCACTAATCAACCACATGATATCCAGACCCATTTAAATGAAATTATATAAAAGTCTATGCTTATGCTTCACAAGTTTATTTATTGCAGATGACAAAATACATATTTTAAAGAGTATATTTTGTTGACGATTTATAATTATTATAATTTATCATCCTGATTCCATGGGTTTTCATTCCTTTTGTTCTTCCATTTTGGATAGGTGCAATACTGAAACTATTTGTAGTGCAATGTTTATAAGTGCAGTTATTTATATGAAATTTGTTGTTCTATAAAAAATTATGTAGAATGAGCTAACCCTTGGAATTCAGCATTACCAACTTCACACCAATGTGTGGTCAATAATTGTGGTGAATATTTGTCACAACACAACAAAGATAAATGTGTATTTATTATATTTCATTTCTGATATCCTCGATAAATAATTTTTTAAAACTAGCATAATAAAGCTGATTTATAACTAACAACATATGGAGTAGCAATAAATATGTTCACTGTGGCTGTAAATACTAACATATACAGTACAGTACAATGTACCATATTAGCATCAACTACATACAATGTTAACATGTTTGATCTCCAGTGGATTTATATTACAGATTTATTTGATTGATCCTCCGATTTTTAATTAAATTAAATTTTGAAATTTGTTGTCACCTTCATAAATTTCACCAACATTCATTCAAAAATTGGTACTCTTTGGTATTTTTAAATCTTGTGGATTATCTAAAAATACCATTTCCATGGAAACTATCAATAATTCCACTCATTTTCATTCCTACTTACCACAAAGAATAAGTATCCAAATTATTATGAAAAAGTCACTTTAAAGACATCTTCTTGTAAGTGATGTTATGACATTTTGGAAATTAATTGATTGAGTAATGTAATGTAATGTAATTAACTTTCTTTCCATTATCTGGTTAATGTAGGCAGTTTAATATTTATATTTCTGTCATATTTGGGGCTGAAAATGCACAAAGTAGTTGGATTTGTATTTCATACTTTATGATGAAGTATTATCAGATGCAATATCGAATATATTTGATATCTATATTATATGTATATGAAACTGATTTTTATTTAATGTTCAATTGATGATTGATTTTTTTAGGTTATGGGAATAACATTTGTTTCAAAATAGTCCTCACATGTCGTCTTTCCATTGGGAGATATAGAAACTGAATCTATCTTAGCCAATATTAAAAAAAAAAAACACTGCCTTTTCACTTGTAAACTTTTATACATACATGTATGGTGCTAACTATTGAAGGTTAATTAAGGAAATTAATCTGAAGGACTTCACCCTCTGGATAGTTAAAAATATGTGATAGATTACACATTTTGATATGCAATAATTGCATAATTATATTCATGCATGTAATTATTTATTCATATTTATTGTTTTGAGCTGTGAGTTACAGTTCAGAATTAGTGCATCAGTTTTTTTTTTTCTGAAACATATCAATAATCTTTTATTCATGTTATTCACAATTATTATGACATTTGGTAATTAGTATTACAAATTATAGTGGTCATATACCAGTATTGTACATGTGTGTATCAGTGTGACTTCACTGTTGTTGGAATACAGTTATATGTTCTATGTGTGAAAGTTCTCTCTTCCTGGTACATTCATTAGTATGAGAATCAATTTATTTTATTTTTTCCACCAGACTTGGCTATTTGTTTCTGCTACATGAGCACTATGTTTCTGTTTAGAACAAAACGATGCATTAAAATGTCCCAATTGGGCATGTTTGTGATCCAGTCATATCAATGAAAGTACCGGAATAAGTGGCATAGTTGTTTTATATTATTACAAACTCAACTGTGAGTTGTAGACACTGAACTTGATATACCTTTGTAGCACATTCAGAATATTTTCCTTCTTCAAATGGATTAATCCATACTATTCATGCTAAAGACTTGATGTCCCACTGATTATGATAATTCTGTTGAGTAATATATTCTCAAATAATGTGAAAATGTGCATGTTGTATTTGATTTTAGTCACAAATACAATGCTTATTTAACATACATAGAAAAGAATTATTCAATATAACGTGATGTGGTGGCCATTCATCAGTGGTATTTGGGGGCAGTAAAACTGACTACAATTAGTAATTAAATATTTCTATATATTGTATTTGTCAGTTCTATGATCTTTAATCTAATCTAAACTATAGCTTGTTAAAAATGAAATTTGGCATGGCGTGGTTAGGATTGCAGGACAGTTATGATGAAAGGAGAGAGTATAATACTAATTACATATGTTTTTTTGTTTTCACAATGAGATCTTGGCATTCATTTATGTCTAAAGTTTATTGCTTGGGTTAACGTTTCATATATATGTGTGTTATGGATAGCATGCGATCTTTACAATGCATGTAAAAATATGATATTTGTATGCATCTTGCGTGATAATTTTGGCACTTTGAAGTATTAGGTTTGGGGGAGTGTAAATTTAAACTTTAGAAAATGCTACCAATAATTAACAATCTTTGATCGTGTTAATATATCAATTTGATTTATAGTTAAAATAAGTGCAATACAAGCGCATTTGCATTTATACATAATTATGGTGATTTCCATGCTATTGCCAAGTCTTCAGAAATTTATAACTTCTTTCTAATTATTTTTAGTTAAATTCGTTTTTGTACAGAGGGTTACTTTTGATGAGTATGTTCATTAACACGAATTATTTATATCAATATAAGATGCCATTATGATAGATTTTTAAATGTAAGAATGTTATGCACAATATTTTATATTATCTTTTGAGGTGCTATTAAATAATACTTTATTGTATCCATTCTATTTTTTAGGGGGGAGGGGGTATGTTGTAATTGTACAAAATCTCAAATATCGTGGTAATTTGATGTTTGGTTGAATTGGTGTATTATAGTATGCAATGGTGTATTTGTAGATTCACAATTTTAAAGTAATTTGGATATTAATATATGGTTATTTAATGATTCCAAATAAAATGTTATTAAAATCTTATAAACTTTTTCATTTTCATTCACTCGAGTATGTGGTTCTAAGTTTTGATTATAATTAATTATGTTCCAGGGCAATCCTGTACAGGGACCCCAGTATACCCAGCCTACCTTTGAAATAATAATGATATACATGTTAAGGCCACAGGTCCATGCAACTAACAATTCTGCCATACTTTCACCCGATCAGTAGAAACTCTTGACCCTATTTTTGCTGGATCCAAGCATGTAAAGGTGTTTGAAAGCGCCGTCAATGCCAGCCTGAACTGGACTCCCTAAGATTAGATCTAAAATTTACTGTCTGTGCTGTGTTGACAATTTTAGTTCCTCTGAATTGCGTTACCATTTCACACTACATTAATGATAGCCAGTCTAAACGACTTCAGTGTGTCGGGCTTTGCACAAGGCACTATTTTATATGATTGATATAGTTTCAAAATCAGGGTTATCAGCAAGCACAGTAGCACTCCTACTCAGATAAAGTTTCAGTTTGGCAATCAGAAAGCTGTTTAATCTGAGAAAAAGTGGGATGGGTGGATGAACTCTATTATATTGTAGACTTGAGCTGTCAGAATCAGTACTTCCAGGCTGTGTGCGCTTCTGCTTAAACTGGTGATCCTACTGTACTGTACAGATCGATTCACCATGAAAGTCCCCAGTCCCCTTCATGATTCATGGTACAAAGAACCACTTCAATGTTTGCCCCTGTGGGTTGAACTTTGCTCTAGGAATATTTACCAAATTATTCGGAGAACCAAAAGCATGCCACATAGTTGGTAAATAAATATAAACCTGTATCTACAGTGTCAACAGAAATCTCACACATTTTGCATTTCACAGTAAACCAACTAAATTGTGTCCAAAACCCTGAACAGGAGCTAGTGTTCTGGTATGGAATTTATAATGCAGCAAGGTCTAGTAAGGCACTCACCAGCATGGGTCATTGTCAGACACCTTCTTGTGCACTATGCTCCATATTAATAGTAACGCTGAGTACTCTTATGGGTTCTGTTGGAATATCTTTTTTTTTCAATTTTCCAGAAATGGTCCTACAAGTATGCCCTATTCAGCATCTAGTACTACAAGCACAGTTGGTAGCATATTGCGTGGACCCTGCCAAGTATTCCTACGATGGGGTTCCAGACTGATCCATACTCTCCATCCATAACCCCCCCCCCCACTCACTGATGCTTTTTCAGTAGAATAGGGATCCTATTTCATAAACCTGAGAGTAAGGGGGAGTGGTTACCCACAAG